GCTTGCTTGAGAGGGAGAGAGCGCGAGTGGAGAGGGCAGTGGCAGAGGGAGAAGCAGGCTCCCCGCTGAGCAGGGAGTAGGAAGCCCGCGCGGGACTCGATCCCAGGACCCCGAGATCGTGACCTGAGCTGAAGGCAGACCCTTAACCAACTGAGCCACCCAGGCGCCCCAGTACTAGGAAATTTTAAAGGACACCCTGGCTGCTTCTGTTTGACAGCCCTGGGCAAAGGGGCAACCTAACTGGTGTCCTTAAGGCAGAGGAAGGTGTGGTGGCTCAAAGAGCAGCTTTCAACACATACTTAAGGCTTCGTAAGTGCCCACTGTGTTTTCAGCGCTGTCCTGCATCAAATACGGGGTGATGGGGGCAGAGGAGTGGTGCTGTTTTATATAAGTTAATTGGTGAAGAACTCAGATAGGATGACCTTTGAGGAGAACCACAAAGAAGCAAGGCATGGTATGGGGAAGAGCACCCCAGATAGGGTGGGAAGGAGCCCCACAAGCAGAGAGCAAAGTCCAAGCAAACGAGATGAAGGAGGTGGCTGGGCAAGGGTCCTGACTTGGAGTTGGGATTTCACCCTGAGTGCAAAGGTCAGCCACTGTACGGTTGCAGGGAGATGAACCATGCATGACCTGACCTACCGTTCACGGATCGCCCGGAGATGGCCAGAGCACAGAGGTGGTGTGGGGTAGCAATGCCATCCGGACTCGTTAGACAGTTGGATCTGGGATGTGTTTTGAAGACAGAATTGGCAAGATTTTGTGGGCCGTAAGAAAGAGAAAGGTCCAGGATGAAGTCAACACTGGCTGGAAGGACTCCAGGAGAGGTAGAGCTTTGGGCTGAAAAACTGGGAGTTTAGTTTTGTACAGTTAAGTCCAAGATACTTGGGCCTCCATGTGGATGACAGGTGGATGGGGGTGAGGGGGGCAACAACAGAGAGCAGAGAGGTAGCTAGGGGCAGGTGAGGCTTCACAGGCATCCGATATATATCACCTTTCACCTGCAAGTGGCATCTGCCAGTGAAGGGCTTTAATCAGGAGGCAAGGGGGCAGAGTCCAGTTTTGTTTTTGTTTTTGTTTTTTAAGATTTTATGTATTTGGGATGCCTGAGGGGCTCAGTCAGTGAAGCATCTGCCTTTGGCTCAGGGCATGATCCTGAGGTCCTGGGATTGAACCCCATATGGGGCTCCTTGCCCAGCAGGGAGCCTACTTCTCCCTCTACCTGCCACTCCCCCTGCTTGTGCTCTCTCTCACACAAATAAATGCATTAAAAAAAGATTTTATGTATTTGAGAGACTGAGTAAGAGAGAGCACAGGAGCAGCGGCAGAGGGAGAGGGAGAAGCAGGCTTCCCACTGAGCAGGGAACCAGACTCGGGACTCGATCCCAGGACCCTGGGATCATGACCTGAGCCGAAGGCAGACGCCTCACCGACAGAGGCCCCCAGGCGCCCCCAGAGCCCTGTTGAAAACAGCGTGAGGGTGAGCCCGTGATGAGAGGCCAGGTGGGAAGTGGTCGCAACAGCTGCAGAGGAAAGAGAAACAGGAAGGGGGCTGGGGGGCGGCGCGTGAAGAGACGCAGAGTAGGAGAGCAGGGGCAGGTGACAAACAGCATCCTCGAGCCTGGGGGGCCTGAAGGAGGCTGCCAGACAGCCAGCCGTGCCACACCTTCCCGTGTTCCCATGGAAACTGGAAATTAAATTTTCACGGGAAGTTTCAATAAAAACAATTTGTCAAACATGTGGCCAAAGAACACACATCAGGTCTATCAATTCCTTATCTCGATCCCCACAGGGTAGTTCTCCAGTGCTTTCCGGGGAAGCCTGTTTTCTTTAATGCAGTTACCTGGACCCACTGGGCGATTCTGATTCAGGAAACCAAGTTCCTGCCAAAAGCAGTTACGTTGCAGCATGTCTGTGTTCCCCTAGAACCAAAAGAAGCTAATTGTTGATTAAACATAAGCCATATGTGGCTCCAGAGAACTCTAGTGCCCAGGTGATGCTGGATGCCCTCCCAGAGAATCAGTGTGTCCTACTTTGATTTGCTCCTAAGCCAAGGTCCTTGAAGGGACTCTCCACACTCCGCTGGACACCACCCCTCTGCTGTGGCCTGGGACAGTGATGGGGCATCAGTGGGGCTCTTCACTCCCTTGCAGAATTCCAGAGGTTACTGCTGAAAGGGAGGCGGCCCAGCCACCTTGCTTTCTTTCTACTTCCTTTTCTTTCTTTTTTTTTTTTTTAAGATTCTATTTATTTATTTGACAGAGAGAGAGAGACAGCGAGAGAGGGAACACAAGCAGGGGGAGTGGGAGAGGGAGAAGCAGGCTTCCCGCGGAGCAGGGAGCCCGATGCGGGGCTCGATCCCAGGACCCCGGACCATGACCTGAGCCAAAAGCAGATGCTTAACAACTGAGGTACCCAGGCTCCCCTCTACTTCCTTTTCTATACAAGTGGCAGAAGTGGCCAGAGCAGGCCCACATTCTGACGACTTCCTCTCTGTCTCTTACCTCATGACCATGGGGTAAGAACTGTCATCTGGGTTTGGGCCAAGCCAGCCCACCCTCAGCCCTGTGGTCAACCTCAGCTCACCAGCATTCTTAGCATTAGAATTTGGAACACAAGCTGGCTTCACAATAAATTATTGCATGCTTTGCTGTCCAGTTACCATAGCTTTGTGATGCATCGCCCTCTGAAACCTCAAGGGAAGGAGGAACTGTGGTATAAAGCAAGATTCAGATGTTCCTGGGACCCCTCACCCAAAACCACCAAAACCACCCCCTAATTTTTAACACTCTTCACCCAGTACATTTTCTGTAGCCTACCGGGTTGTTTCGTAAAGGTCTTACCTATTTTCTTTAATAAAGCATGTATGCATTCATGGGAGTGGGGGGAGGGGCAGAGGAAGAGAATCCCCAGGCTGACTCTCCACTGAGCGCAGAGCCCACCTGGACTGATCCCACCACCCATGAGGTCGCAACCTGAGCAGAAACCAAGAGTCCCTCACTCAACCGAGCCCCCCAAGCGCCCCTAGCCTATCAGTTTTTATGTAATTTTAAAATCTAAATATACGAACTATTCTTTTCTTCAATCAGTTTCTCACAAATCCAACTAGAAAGGTTGAGAGTAAAAAAATAAATCTTCCTAAGCCTTTTTTCTAGTGAGGGTGTCATAATATTGCATAATGTGTTTTATGTAATGAATGTCAGCTTGCGGAAAGCAAGGCGCTTACTCAGCTGGGAGATGGATTGTGTTCTCATTCAACATATGCCGGGGTGTGCAGGACAGTGTCACAGCAGGGGCAGAACACAACTCTCTCACACACTTTCATGGCCCGGACGGGGCTGAAAGGGCCGTCCTGCGGTTCTGCAGCTGGTATCCGACATCCCAGAAGCTTTGGTGGGCGGCCATGGTCTGTCAATGGCAGACACCCATCTGCAGCCCCTCTCCTGGGTTGGGGAAGGAGTCACGGACTTACCGCCACAGAGGCTTTGCTCTTTGCAGTCCCTGGAAAGGAGCCCCTGGGAATACAGCTGAGCTTTCCTGAGACAGCAGGCCTCTGGCCCGTGCCAGCCCTGGGAGTAACCCCAGTGCTTACTACCCAGGATGGTCGATTCGGAACCTTTCACGAATGCTGAATCCAGTGAAGATTTAATAATAAATTCTCCAAACTGTCGCCAGAGACTGCAAGATGTCTTTAGCCAAAGAGAGGCTCACAAAGTATAATCTCGAATCCAATCTGAATTCCCTTTTTTAAGGTTTTTTTGTGGTTTTTTTGTGTGTTTTTTTAGTAATTTCTACACCCAAGATGGGGCTCGAACTTACAACCCTGATACCAAGAGTCACATGCTCTTCCGACTGAGCCAGCCAGGTGCCCCTATGTTCCCTTTTTAAACTAATAAAACTCACATAGCTTTTTTTTTTAAGATTTATTTGTTTCAGAAAGAGAGAGAGAGAGAGAGTGCACCAGCAGGGGGAGGGACAGAGGGAAAGAGAATCCTGAAGCAGACTCCCCGCTGAGCTGGGAGCCCTACCCGCCCTGGGGGCTCAATCCCCAAACCAGGATCATGACCTGAGCCAATATCAAGAGTTGGACACTTCCCAGGTGCCCCAAAGTCACATATCTTTGATAAAAATCATTTTAATGACATTAGAATTGCCATGATTGAGACCATAGTTTCACCAAGTGTGGTCCAGGAACCCTGGGGGCCCCCCAAAACCCTTTGTGGGGGTCAGCAAAGGTCCGGCAGTTTGGAGAAATGGCATGGCCGCAGGCTACTGACAAAGGTAAGTGTTCTCAAGAAGGCGATACAGGGCCCGGGGGTCTGGAAGATTGTTAGATGTCTCTAGACTGTTGGAAGGCGTACAACTTAACAAGGGAGAAAGAAGTGGTCCCGTTCAGCAGGAACGTGCAGAGTGTGGGGAAACGGTGGAAAGCAGTGGGGCCCAGACACAGAGGCAGCCGGCCTGAGCAGCTTGGGAGCTCACGGACGGCCCCTGGAACTGTCCTACGTGCCATTTACGCATCCACCTGGTGGGGAGAAGCAGAGACCTTTGGAGATGGGTTTGCTGTGGGGGATAGCCTGGCCCAAGCCACAGGAACCCGGATGTCAGTCCCTCAGCTCTTTCCTGGAGCTCACGCTCTCTGCTTCACCACCTCTGGGCAGAGACCGTGCTTTATGGGCACACATACCTTTCAAAACACAAGACACAGTACTGGGGACAGCAGCGATGCTCGGGATTATAGAAATTAGTAAATTGTGTCACTGAAACTCAGCTTTGCAACTTTAAAAAGTATTCAGAAGTTAAAAGGATAGATGTCATCTGAGTGAAATAAAGGAATGCTCCCGGGTTTCAGTGTTGAATATTGCGAGTCACCTTCCAGCGACCCTGCGCACAGCACCCACAGCATCCAGGGAGGCCGGCTTCTCGTGCCTGCGTACTCCAGACCTCCCAGACAAGTGCTTTAGTCCCTCCCTCCTGCCCAGAGAAGGATTGTAAACATAGTCTATGGGCTCTGTTTCATTTTGTTTATTCTGTTTATGAAACTGTAACCTCATGTAGGATTGCCTAGGGCCCAAGTCACAAATAAACTGTCAAACAAAATAAACATAAAACAGCAGGGACAGAGATGTGGCCAAACCCATATCGCATGCTCCGATTTGAGGCCAGTATAAAGCCGAAATACCCTCCCCTCTCCAGATAATCTCCGACTTAACCTGATCAGCTCTGACACCTCCTCCCACCAGGGCTGGCCCTGAATTCCAGAAACGGATCCTCGGATCCTCTGGGGAAAAACGGCTAAGTGGACCACAGGGAGGTCCTGGCGCCCTCACCTCGATCTGCTGGTGTGTGTCTGTGTAGCCAATGTTCTGTGGGGGAAGGGGGCTTAAGTGAGCCCTGGCTCAAATTCTTTGTAGAGGCAGCCACCTTGTCCCCTGTCAAATCAACCTGTAAATTATGGTGAAAAGGACCAGTGCCTGAAACCGGTCCTCTTACACCTGCACCTGGTGGAGCCTGGCGGGGTGCTCAGCCTTCATCGGGTTGAGGGCAGTCGTGTGCTGCTGACCCCGTGATCAGCCGGCCACCAAGATCAACATGAAGCCACCACAGGCTGCCCTGTGCCTCTGGGAAGCCTCAGCCTGTCCCACGCGCCCAAGCGCACCTTCCCGTTTGGGCTGTTGCAAGCCCTGCCCTCCCCTGCCCCAGTCTGGCCAAAAGGATGCTGTAACACAGACGAATCCGTCTGTAGCTCAAAATCCTCCACAGGCTCCTCCACCTAGAGCACGAAGGCAGGGTCCTCACCGTGGTGGTGGAGCCCAGCCTGCACACTCGCTCTCCTCCGCCCCGCTCAGGCTTTACTTGCCCTCCGTACCATGTGCTTTGCTGCTCTGGTTGACTCGTTTCTCGTCGGAATGGAAGCTCATTGAGGACAAGCGTTTGTTCACTGCTGTGTCCCCAGCACCTAGGACACGGCCACAGAGTGTCTGTGAAGGGAAATGCCATTTTATCCCATAAAAATCGACTTTTTTCTCCAGTTCTTTCACTTTCTGCAACTGTTTGAGGGCCTCTCACCATTTCTGCAACTGTGTGAATCCCCCCAAAAACTCACCGTCAGAAACTATCCCCACCTGCCCCTTTCACTGCTCCCCCCCTTTCCTCATCATCTTTACTCTGGGACCGTAACAGCTCTGGGGGTCTTTCCCCATCCTTTTGGATCTGTCCTCCCTTCTTTTGACCTCTTTTTGTTCTGCGTTGCAAAACATCCAGGAGTGAGCTAGCAATCTCTGAGAACAGGGAGTTGGAAGTTCTGAGTGAACAAAAGCAAGGTTTTCTTTAGCAGGCTGGTAGAAAAGGCAGGGATGTCTGGGAACACTTGCTTGTCACTGTGTCTTGTTCCTATTACGCTGTGGCTGTCCAAATTCAATGTGGTTCATGGAATTTCTTTTTTTTTATTTTTTTTAAAGATTTTATTTATTTATTTGAGAGAGAGAGAATGAGAGACAGAGAGCATGAGAGGGAGGAGGGTCAGAGGGAGAAGCAGACTCCCCGCCGAGCAGGGAGCCCGATGCGGGACTCGATCCCCGGACTCCAGGACCATGACCTGAGCCGAAGGCAGTCGCTTAACCAACTGAGCCACCCAGGCGCCCGGTTCATGGAATTTCTACAGAAGTACGTCCATCATTGATTTGCTGAAAAGCCATAATAGCCATAGACCTCTAGGATCTAGGACCGGCCAGCTGGTGAATACTCTATGCCTTCACTGAAGGACACAGAGACCTTCAGGAGGACAGTGTGTCCTGTCCAACCCCGAGAAATGGGGCCACTCTGCTGATGATTGCTGGCTGTGGATTACAGAGTGGAGATACAGCTAATCCGGTCACTGTCTACACCCCAGAAGCGAGCAAGCAGAGGATCCTGTTGGCTACACAGCACATTCAACTGAAAGCTGTCTGGGGGACCATATACAAAAAGTGAACGCCTTCTTCCTTCAAATATCTTATCGTTCACCTAACAAGTAACCCCTGGGGCCAGGAAGATAGCAAGCCAGTAACTTCCAGAAATAGGCTGTAAACGACATCCAGACATGGCCCCTCTTTTCTGGTAGCTGATCCCAGACAAGGCTTCTGAGCTCACACTGAGGGGTTAAGGAGGGACCCCAGTGCTCTGGCCGGTGACGACTCCCCCGTAGCTACCGAACCTGGACAGGCAAACCCCAGCTTGGACCAACAAAAACCCAAAAACCCAATGTAAACTTGCATCTAAAGAAAGGGGTTGGCTCATGATGAGGAATGAAGTGGGGGTTCCCACCTGCCATGACCGGATCCAGGGACACAAACCAGGTTGTCCCAAGCCTCACCTGCAGCTTTTGCTTCTCTATCTGTGAGCCAACTTCTCTGCAGCCGTGGTTGGCTCTCTCCACATGGTGGGAAAGGGGCCAACAGCATACGCAATCCATCCTTCTACTCCATGACCCCAAAGGCGAAGTCCCTTCTTCACCTTCAAACAGAAGCTCTGAGGAAGGACCTCATAGGCTGACTTTCTGCTCCTGGACCAATCATTGTTGGGGTGAATGCAGCACTACCAAGGCCTGGGGTCATGTGACCAGGGGGAGTCAGGATCCAAGGGCTGGGTTTTGCTGAGCAGAGGTGAACAAGAGACATCTTCTGTAATCAACACTGTGGTCAGCAGCCTCCAAGGAGACCCTCGATGACCCCTGCCCCCTAGTATTCACACTCTTGGGCCGTCCCTGCCAAATGGGACCATGTCATGTGAGCAGCCCCACGGAGACGCCATGTGGTGAGGAGCTGAGCTCCTGCCAACAGCCAGGCAAAGGCATCACCTTGGAAACCCAGCCTCTAGCACCAGGAAAGCTTCAAGTGACCGCAGCCCTGGCCAACGACCGGACCGCACCCTTGTGGAAGACCGAGCCTGAGCCGCCTGGCCAACTACACCCAGCTTCCCGGTCCTCAGAAAACTGTGTGACACAACGAACACTGGTTTACCTTGTCAAGTGTGGGGTCGTTTGTTCCGTATCAATGGATAGCGGATACGATCATCAGTACAGATTAGATGAATGAACTTGGCGTGTGCTCTCCAGAGCTCTGGGAGTTAACGGAATTTGGAGAGGAAGCAGCCCCTGCACTTTCGGGGTGCCCCCTGGACATCGGTCCAAAATCTCACACCCAGCATCTTGAGAAACAGAGGTTACAGACAGTCATACACACATTTCTGTACAGGTTTTTGCTAGTAGAAATGACTTTTTATCCTTTCAAGAACAAAATCAGTGATTATAAAATCCCATACATATGATGACTAAAACCCAGCTAACAAGCGATATGAGAAGAAATCATTCCTTTTTTTTTTCTTTTTTAAGATTTTATTTGACAGGGAGACAGTGAGAGAGGGAACACAAACAGGGGGAGTGGGAGAGGGAGAAGCAGGCTTTCCCTGGAGCAGGGAGCCCGACACGGGGCTCGATCCAGGACCCTGGGATCATGACCTGAGCCGAAGGCAGACACTTAACAACTGAACCACCCAGGCGGCCCGAAGAAGAAATAATTTCCTAAGAAAGATCTCTAGTTCAGAAACAAAATTTACCAAAACTCAAAGAAATGAGTAAGTTTATTCTGACGTTCTATAAGGGAGTGTATCTTATAGAAGACATCCTAAGATTAGCCAAATACGTCATTGTGGAGCAGGCCATTCCAAGCTGTGAGACTTAGCCTCTGAGGAGGAGCTCACCAATATGATTATGGGAGCAGCAATCACAGTGATCGACTGCCCAAGGTCTTCAAAGGTCAGGGTTAAGTGTAGAAGCAACCGTGCTTAAAAAAAGAAAAAAAGTTTAAAAGTTTAGTTGCGGGGCACCTGGGTGGCTCAGTCGGCAGCTGCCTTCAGCTCAGGTCCTGGTCCCGGCGTCCTGGGACCGAGCCTGGCGTCGGGCTCCCTGCTCCGCGGGAAGCCTGCTGCTCCCTCTCCCTCTGCCTGCCGCTCTGCCCACTTGTGCTCTCTGTCAAGTGAAGAAATAAAATCTTCAAAAAAAACAAACCACATTTGAAGAACTGCACTGATAGTGTGTGCTCTCCCACAGTTTCATTTGCGTCGACATCCCAGGAATAAACTCCTAGATATAAATGACTTCCAGCTTCGTGGGCCGTTCTCACGAACGACAACCCCGTGGGAAACCCAGGGCTGCTATTAGCCTCACTTTGCAGATAATTACTATCCCCATTTTAATGATGGGAAAACTGAGGCTTTTGGAGAAGGCAGCAACTTGCTCAAGGTCACTCACGGTCTGAGGACAGAAGCCAGTGTTCTTCTGCCGGAGGCGGGCCCTTTGCCGTCACCCTGCACTGCTTCCCACCGGAGTGCCAGGCAGTCAGACCACAGCAACAATTTTAGTTCAGGCAGTATTAGTATGAGCGCATCTTACACTCTTCCCAAACATGTTCACGTTTCTTAGAGGCTTTGAGGCACGAATCCCCTGGAGTGGATGATGAGGGAACAGGTGAGTGTGGAGGGCCCGGTCACTTCCCGTCAGGGCACATTGCACAAGCGTTGGTAAGGTGCAAGGAACCACTCTCTCGGAAGTTACAGTCACAGGACTGGTCTGGGCAGAGTGAGAGCAGGGTAGAGCGAGCTGGAGAAGGGAAGGCAGTAAGTAGGTGGGGCAATTTACTTTTTATTTTTTATTTGTATGTCAGAGAAAGAGAGAGCACAAGCAGGGAGAGCAGCAGGCAGAGGGAGAAGCGGGCTCCCCGCTCGGAGCCCGACGTGGGACTCGATCCCAGGACCCTGGGACCATGACCCGAGCGGAAGGCAGCCGCTTAACCGACTGGGCCACCCAGGCGCCCCTGGGTGGGGCAATTTAACCAGCGAAAGAGGGAAGGGGGGTTGGGGGGGCTGGGGAGGAAGGACTGATGGTGAAGGAAGGTGGTAGGAGGAGAGGAGAAGCAAAGGAAAGGAAGTGAGCTCAGTTGTGTGAACCACCGGCAGCCCTGGGCCTAGGGGCTGCTCTCTCCACAAACCAACCACAAATAAGAACGAACCTCTGCAGAAGCACCAGCTGCTGGAGGGCTGAGCACCCGTCATCAGGACACTGAGCTTAAAAACCGTCCCTACACCTTCCTAGTTTCAGCAGTGAGGCAGGGGAAGGGTTCACACGCCGCGTTACTTTTATAATACCTAAGGAATAACGGGGGAGAGTGCAGGCCCAGAAACCAGTCAGAACAGCTCTGAGACCGTGCCATCACTTCTCAGCCCGGTTGCTTTTAATTTTTGAGTCTGTTTCCTCGTCTGTAAAACAGACATAAGAGTACCTCAGAGTTGTGAATATAAGGTATCTGATACGGGGGCACGTGGGTGGCTCAGTCGGCTAACCGCCAGCCTTCGGCTCTGTCCCGATCCCAGGGCCCTGGGATGGAGCTGTCAGGCTCCCTGCTCGGCGGGGAGTCTGCTGCACCGTCTCTCCCCACCACCCCCCTGCTCATGCTCTCTCTCAAGTAAATAAAATATTTAAAAAAGAGAGTGACCGATACGGACCAGGCACCGGTTAGCACCAGGATCGCTTGTAGGGGTTCGTGGACGACAGAGAGGTGCACGTTACCACACGCACCCACCTGGTCTGATTTTTCTACTAAACGAGCCGAAAGCTCGAGCAGTCTCAAAGCTGAGCGCTCAAGCGCTGGAAAAGAGGTGGACCGGCAGGAGCAGCGGCGGCCAGGGGCAGGGGGCTGGCTGGGCGCAGGGACAGTCTCCTGGGCCACGATCCCGACGACCGGCGCTGGGGACGACTTCTGACATCGTCGTGCCCCCAGCAGAAAAGAGCCGGTTAAGATGTTTAACTATCCGAACTGAAACCCCCGCAGGATGAGGGTTCGGCCTGCGCCAGGGCGCGCGGCCACCCTCCCTCCTTTGAAGCATGAACCAAGGGCAAGACCCTGCGGCCAGGGGCGCCCAGGGGGGCTCAGTCGTTGAGCGTCTGCCTTCGGCTCGGGTCACGCTCCCGGGGTCCTGGGATCGAGCCCCGCGTCGGGCTCCCTGCTCGGGAAGCCTGCTTCTCCCTCTCCCGCTCCCCCTGCTTCTGTTCCCTCTCTCGCTGTGTCTCTCTCTGTCAAATAAATAAGTAAAATCTTTAAAAAAAAAAAAAAGGACGCCGCGGCCAGGGGACGGGCAGCCGGGCCAGGGTCCCGGGTGGGGCTGGAGGCTGAGGCCGTGCGGTCGGGGACGGATCCGGGTTGGGATTCTGCGTCGGGGTCCGGGTCCGGGTCCGGGTCCGGGTCCGGGTGGGGGTGGGGGTCGGGGTCCCGGGTCCGAGCGCCAGCTCTCCGGGCACGGTTCCCTCGGGCTCCCGCGCTCCGCCCCGCAACCTCGCGCCCGGGCGGCCCTCTCCAGCAGCGACGCCCCCGAACCGCGCGGCCGCAGCACGCAGCCCGGCGCGGAGTCCCGGTTCCCTCCCTCCCGGGGTCCCCTCGCGGCGCCCCGCCCCGGGAGGCACCTAATCAAGCGCTGGGGCACGCCAGGACGGCCGCCGCGCAGCGGGCGCGGGGACCCAGCTCGGCCAGCCTCGACCGCGCAGGCGCCCCCCGGGCGGTCCGACCGCGCAGGCGCCCCC